AAAACTGCTGAATACATGACTGAGTGAGTCCTCGACTCTCATCACCCTATTTATGACTCCCAGGGCCCGGCCTCCCCTAATCAAGAGCAAGGCATTGGAACAACCGTACCCCAGGGGAAAGGCATTTTAAGTTCCTCTTTATATTTCCTTAAAGTCACCACAAAGATTCTCCCCTTCTGTCCCAAAACCACAAAATCAATGCCTTGCAACAATGTATTCTTAAAGCAATTTTGCTTCATTTCCCCTCAAAGACAATGCACAAAGTTCCTTAAAATGCACAGGGCTTAGCTTAGTTCCCTTTCACCTTACGCAAGGAAAAGACACACTTTTAAACCCCTGTCAAACTTCTTTACTCTGGCTCCTTCATCTTGGATTCATAGTTGCCCACCACACAGGCTGTCACTTGCTCTTTACTAAGCAGTCTACAAATTAAGATAAAGAAAATGGGCTCAAAAGAAAGAGAAATTACACATCAAGCACACTCCAGGTAAGCAAACTAGGAAACTGAATATAGTTTTCAATGATGCTGCATCCCGTTAGACACTAGGAGAGATTCTATTTTGCAGGGGTAGGGGGTGGTGGGGGATGCTAGGCTACAGGCACAGTCCTTCAAGCCACATCAGAGGCTGTGTCACTACTTTATCGGCGTGTTTCTATTTGTCTCAAAATATTATCACCAACTTGATTTCCTGATTTTTTCCCACCAGACTTGAATGAAAATTTCAGAATCATTAGGATTCTAGTTGGCCTTTATCTTACTCCCTAAAATCAAATGTGCTCTCAAAGAATTCAGATGGATAACAAATACAAGGGCACTCAAGTAAATTCTGAGAAGTTCTAAAAAAATGCTTTCTGGCACACCTGAAGGGCGAAATTTGAGGCTTTCTAATTGTATAAAGAGGTACTGCCTTGGAAACCACTGGGGCAGTTCTACCCCCACTGTCCTATAGGCACGCTGAATCAGAACTGACTCAAAGGCCATCGATGAGTGTGATTGTCGTTTGGTCACACCTGAAACGTTGCTCATTGGGGGAAAAACACAGCTGCAAACAACTACTCTAAGATAACAATTATTTGTAAATCCATGTTCTTTTTAAAAATCATCTTATCGGGAGCTTTTACAGATATTATAACAACCCATAATTCAATCAGATCAAGCATAATTGTATAATTGCTGCCACCATCGGCTGCAAAACATTTTCTTTCTTCTTGAACTCTTTGATATCAGTTCTACTTTATCTCCTCCCTCCCCTACTATTATATTATATATTGTTATTATTATTATTACTTGCCATATTTTACACCATCCAATGTATCTGTTCACCTACAATTCGGTTATTCATTCCCCTGGAGTGGAATTATACAGTCATCATTACTATCAGTTCCCCCTCCCTCCACCTCTTCCTTTACCCTCTGGGAATCCTTACTCCCATTACTATATCTGAAGGGTTTATCTATCTTGAATTTCATGCATTGAATGATCTTAATTATATAAATGAACATACGCAGGTCTAACAAGATTAATGAGGTAAAACTAAGACCATAATAGTAAGAGGAGGAAATATTAAAGAACTAGAGGATAGTTATTCTGATATTCAGTACATCATATTTAATAGTAAATTTTCAAATAATTTCAGTTGTATTTTCCTGTGCCAATACTACACAGCATTGTCTCTCACTCCCTCTCACACCAGTTGCTTTCCAGTAGACTGACTCATGATAAGCCCATGCATTTCAGAGCAGAACTGTGCTCTTCCAGGTCTTAAATGGATGTTTTTTCCACAAAGTAAGCTCACCAGGCTTTTCTTCCAAAGTAGTTCGGGGTAGACTTGAACTTCCACCCTGCCTTTCAGTTAGCTGACCAATTCATTACTCTTTATACCACCTTGGGACTGTGGCTGCATTTTAGATCCCGCCTAAATATAACTGGTTGAAATACTACTTGAAAAAACAAACACACCTCGGCTTCTCTGAAAAGAACACAAAAACTTAACAGTGAATGTTTCTGCAAAAGAGGAAAGGGTGGCTTGGGAACAAAAAGTGAGAGGGGGAAAATTTTCACTAAATACTCTTTTATCTACTTTTAATTTTATAAAATGTCAACTATAAAGATAAAAATATAAAAATAGAATATTGCCTATTTTAAAAAAATTTGTTTAATAAAGCTACTCCCAAATGACAGATACTGCTGGTTTCTGTAAAGTATAAATGTACAGTACTACTGAAGGATTAGGGCTCATTTTAGTGTCACTTTATTGTAAATTTTGTTCTCTTTTCTAGTGCAGAGCTAATTCATGCCAAATAAGCGTTGCTGGCAAACATTTCAATATCAAATTCACCTAAATTCCCTTTAGCTGAGTTATTCTACTCTATCACTCCATCAAAGTTTAAATGGATTCACCAGAGGCTTATTCCACTTGGGAACCCTGTAAATGGGTTTGGGGCTTTCACTGTCATCCACAGTTTTCTGCAAACTGAATACTCAAAATTTAAGCTCTAAAACTGTCCCTCCTCCAGTCTTGGATTTTATTATTTACAATCCTTGGATCACACAGGCTAGTGTTTGTCTTCTGTGTGGACTTAGCTGACACCTCACTTAGACTGCTTATTTTAAGATGAGTCTTTAAGACCCCAGATGCTATTCTGTCTGATAGCTAGGTATCACCTTATTCCTTCACCACACTTTGCTACAACACTCACATCTTCAGCAATCTTTTCATGAGGGCAAGTATTGAGTAGGGCCACATCATAAGAACCAGTTGTTCTAAGTAGTTACAATTAAGTTTGAGTTCAAAACCCATCTATCTATCTATCTATCTATCTATCTATCTATCATCTATCTATCAATGATTTACATATGTCCTAGTTCAGGATGTGAATCACCTTCCTATCACATAGAGTACATTGAAAGTTAGATTAATGAAGATGTAGTTATTTTAAAATTTAACTCCTTATCATTTGCTCTCCCTTTTGAGTATTTAAATTTTGTTTTAGTTTTTAATATTTTCTGCTTTCTTTTAAGTTGAGGTTTTTCTATTTTGTTTTCGTTGTTGTGTTTTGTTTTGTTTTTTTGCAGGGGAGACATGTTTTTCTGTATGTGAAATGCAGAATAGGTACATCTATAGACAGTTGTAACTGGGTTCATACTTTCTTAGGGCTGTGGCAAGTGAGGCTGAGGGGAAAAAGGGCGCTAAAATAATAATGTTCAGAAGATAATGTTCTAAAATTGATTGTGGTGATGACTGCACAACTCTAATATGATTAAACCGTTGAATTGTATAATATGTGAATTAAATGTCAATAAAGGTATTAACATAATAATAAAGCTTTACAAATTAAAAAAGGGAAAAAATCTTAAATACTAGCAACAAAAACCTGATTATTACAAAAACAAAAACGTGTCAATGAAAAGACGGTAAATTAATGAACTACAAAAGGAACAAAGATCCAAATAATATCTCTGGAAAGCAGCAAACCAAGAAATAACAAGTATTATGAATGCAAAGGGCTGCAAATGCCGTTAAAATATAAACTGTCATACAGTAAAAACAAGAGAAAGATGTCAAGCCTGGTGCTTTCTGCAAGAGAACATCAACAGCCTGAACTAGAAACTGCAATATGATCTGCTGCAGGGCACGGTTGCACAATCACAATTACCCAGAAGAGTCTACCAAACAGGAAATTCATGATAGGGCTTTAAGGAACACAGGAATGATCCTTAAAGATGAACACATTCAAGAACTGGAATTTGTTTTAAGCAAAAACTTACTTTGCCGGGCCCTTTGCAATGCTGCATGCACAGGAATTACTAAAACCCGAGAGTGGGAGAGAGCTCATGAGGAAATCTGATGGTACATTTTGGAGCAGGAGCACCCAGACGATATAGTAAGTCTGAAACACTGTCCTTAAAACCGAGGAAAGCAGAGAAGTTGGAGAAACAGTTCAAGCCCCACGTTTTCCGGGACCAATTTCATTTAGAGCACATTCGTGTCGTAAAGGAAAGGTTGAACATGGCAACGCGTCTCTTCCTCCTTGTGCTAAAAGACCCGAAAATCACCTGGTACTTTGGGTCATAAGGGGGATACGATTCCTGGCAAACGCCCTAAAGGGGGCTTTTATAAACACAATACGTTAGGGCTTGCCACAATTTCAAAACGATTGGCAATACTTTGCTGAAGGGTTCACTTTCTGATCTTGAGAACGCCCAAGGGTCCCGAATGTCACTCGCTCCCAATGAGAAAGCCGTTTTGTGAAACAATACTTCAAGCGAGCAGAAGCCCGTCAGCGGTCAGTGAGGCGCCTGCTTCTTCAACAGCAGGGTGCCCGCAGAGGCACCACCACCACCCAGCCCCCCTCCGAGAAAAGGAAATACGCTTTCAACCGAATCGGAAACACACCACTCAAGCTGGCACGGTGTTCTCCGAGATAAAGGCAGTATTTTAAGCTCTCTGCGAATTCACGTGCCAATTCAACACGAACGCTGCTCCGAGCGGGATTGCAACAAAGCTCTGCAAAACAGCCCGGGGAGCGCGTCCAGGCTTGGCAATCGTGCTCGGGGGCTCGCAGCCGCCCAGCCGGGCTCTGCCCTGCTGCTGCTTGCATGCTGGTCCGCTCGGATGGCCGGCTCCGGCGCCCCGGGCTGGGCACGCCTCCGGAGAGGGCCCTTGTGTTCGACGCGAGCAGGGACACCCCGAGCGGAGGGCACCCTCGGTCCCTGTCCCCGGGGCTACAGCAGCGCTGGGTGCGAGCCGTGGGCGAATTCCACCCCCCACCCCCCACCCCCACCCAGCGTGCAACTGCGTCCGGCACACGACTGACCACCTACACGGCGTGCCAATGGGGCTGCAAAGGCGCAAGAAGGAATTCGAAGGAGCAGCGAGGCCGCCCCCCGAGGAAAATTCCTGCCGCTGGGCGCATCGCTGAGCCGTGGGGGCAGGCCCGACCGTCGGGCTGGAGGGGCCACCCCTGCCCACCTTGGCCTCAGGCCGCGCGACACTCACCACACGGAGCCATAGGCGCCCGAGCCCACCGGGGACAGGTTCTGATAGCGCTCGGGCACCTCCCAGATGGTCTTGTTCAGCTCCTGCCGGTAGAATGTGGGCCTCTCCTGAGACATCTTCCAGCGGCGGCCGCAGGGTGAGGAGGTGGCCC